AGTTGAATAGCAGAGTAGGTAATTTTTAATAGTAGATTGTCAAGTAAGCAAACTAGTGTATTATCAAAGACAAAATTTCCTTTGAATATAAAGTTTTCAGCTAGATTTAGGACATTTATATCAATGGCTTGAAAGAACACAAATTTTAACTGGAAACCTTATAAATATTCTAAAATAACCAAATTTTTTCTACCAAAATATTAATTTGTATATATAAATATATAAAATCAACATATATTTCATTAAATCTACTTCATGTTGATCCTGTGACACAACATATTTCTCTACTAAATGAATTCTTCCCAACAGTTACTGTTCTATAAATAGAATTTACTTCATCCTCAACAGCATTCATACAAAATATACAAGATCAATGATTACCATGAATTCTTATCAATAACCTAAATCCCTTATTTTAGAGCTATTGAAAAAAGGAATGATCAATATTTTAATAGATATTTTCTTTATACTTTTAAAAATCAATACTTTTATATGCAAACAATATTTTTTGGATTAATTTTGATAAGCCTTTAATGTTAAATATTTACATATAGTAAACTATAGTGTTTTTTTTTTCAAAATCATTTGATTTATTAAAGTGACTATAGAAATTTCTCAACTGAAAAAATTTTCTTAAAGATTTATCTTAATAATCCAACATTTGGTAAAAATTGTGGAAAGATGCCTAGTAGTAATCAAGTTTTGAATTCTACTAATTCAACAACAGTTGTAGTTGGTCAACCATTATCGAATGAACATAAAATTATAAAGATATTGCCTCAAGGTAGAAATAATGCAAATATTAAATTTAAAGCTGTTGGTGATACTATGGTACATGTGAATAAATTTTTTTTTAATCATATTAATGTTTCTAATTATGCTTTTTTTTTCTTTCTTTCTTTATAGAGATTGAGTATAACTTCGGCAATATGCTGTTTCTGCTGCATCTGCTTTGGAATTTTATCAATATACAACAGTTTAAAAAGTAGAGAATCAAAACGAATTGGTAATACTGAAGAAGGTATTAGAAGGGCAAGATATGCAATTGTTTGTTCTTTTATAGCTATAGTAGGAGGCTTAATTGTTTCTTTTACATGCCTTATGGCAACATTACCTCTAGTGGTATAAGCAGACTTTTCTATAAGAATGTTGTAGTATTATTTTAATACAATTCTTTAAAAATATCTATAACAAATATTGGCTGCCATTTTTGGTTATTTACTCTATGATTTTAGGATTCAAATTTAAATAATATATTTGTACTAAAAGAGAAATCCTCTTAAATTATCAACTCTGGTTAGACATTTTTCCTTCTTCAGAAAATAGCATCCTTTTAATCCTTTTACTCTGATTTGCTGAATTTGACATCAATGTTTCTTTTATAGAAACATAAACAAAAAAAATATTCACTTTCTTCACAGTAGATGGAGCCAAAATCATCCACTTGCTTGTAAAATTTTCAACTGTTGAAAATCTTTGGAAAATTGTTAAACTGTTTTGAAGGAGTCTACACTTAGCCTAAAAACAATTGAAAATTATTGGAAGTTATTTTCTGATTGAAAAAGACCAGTTAAAGGTTGTTACAACATGTTTTAGAAATATAGGCAAAAAGTTTCAGGACATTGTAAAATCATTCGAAGAGTATTTGAAAATATTTTAAATGGCTGACAAACTAAATAAATAGGTGATAGAAGAAATCATAGAGCTTGCAGAAAATTTCAATGGAAGATATCTGTACAAGTCTTTCAAAATCTTTAAATACTTTGAAACAAATCAAATTTATAAAATGTTCTCTAAAGGAAGAAAATTGCAAAATTTTAGGAAATTTCTTAAAGAATAGTTACAAAATAGAAACAATTAATCTTCAAGGGAATAGAGAGATGGGAAAAGGAGTAGAGAATATTTGTGTAGGACTTTTACAATCATCAAAAAATTTGAAACATATCTATTGTGATTGTTGTCAATTAAATGAAAAACAATGCGAATCTATAGGAAATCTTTTGAATAATTGCTGTAAACTTGAAACAATAAGTCTAACTGAGAATTTTGTAATGGGAATAGGATTATCAAATATTTTTAGAGGATTATGTCAAGCGTCAAAGACTTTAAAATATCTCAATTTGAAGTCATGTTCTTTAGAAGAGGAACAGTGTGAATTGTTTGGAGAATTACTGAAAAACTGTTCAAACATTGAAACATTACATCTTGAAGAAAATCATGGAATTGCTGATGGAATCCATAATGTTTGTAAAGGACTTATTCAATCAACAAATAAATTAAGACATTTGTTTTTTGGATGGTGTTATTTAAATGAAAATCAGTGTAAATCTGTGGGAAATCTGTTGAAATTCACCAAAATTGAAACATTACACCTAGAAGGAATTAACCAGATGAAAAATGGATTATCCGATATTAATAAAGTTCTATTTCAATCATCGTACAGTTTAAAACATATCTATTTTGGTAATTGTAATTTAGATTTAAAATTATGCAAATCAATTTGGAATTTGTTGAAAGATTGTTATAAAATAGAAACAATCAATATAAATGGTAATAGGCAAATGGGAAATGGATTACAATATATTTGTGAAAGCCTTATTCTATCTTCAAATAATTTAAATAGAGCCTCAAGTTCGTCCACAAGTATCAGCAAATGAATGATATTTGTCCAAAGTTTTATATCGAACTTTTAACAAAATGCCAGTATTTTCCAAATAAGATATGTATTGAATATTCTGAGGTTTTATCTTTAAGCAAGCAGTTAGAAAACTAAGCTAGCAACAGGTTATGGAATGAACATCCCATGGAAAGAATGTCCCATTTTTAAAAGAATACATCTATTTGAAAGAAAAATTTAATATTTAAAAAATGTATTATTTCTTTCAAAAGATATTTATACTTTTCAATGATGTAATGAGTAATCATTGTATCCACACAACAAAACTGGAATACTCCATTTTGGAAAATTCACTGAAGTAGTAATTTTTGGAAATTTCTCTAAATTAAAAAAGATAGGATTATTTTGTTTGAAAAAGAGATAAGGTAATTATTAAATATTAATAAGGAATTGAAAAGATTTATTTTATGTGTTTTTCACAATTGGCTAAGTTAAAAACACTTTTTTTTATTATATCTTTAATTGAACTTCCTCTTTATAGACAATGGATGCCTCTTGTTATCAATGTAAGAAAAGGATATATGGAAAGAGATCTGTACATAAATGTTCAGTATGTAATCATACATATTCCATGCATTTTAAGTGCACCAAAGGTTTGTATAAAATTTATTTGAAATAAGGGAGGAAGCAAGAAAGGAAAAGATATTCTACTCTATAATGGATTTGCATTCAATGTAAAGTTTATGAAAGACAGCTATACCTTATGGAGATGCAGTGTTCATAATAAAAAGAAAATATGTCCTGCTACAATTAAACAAAAGGGTTCAACATTTATTGAAAGCACAATGGAACATTGTCATAGAAAAAAAATAGATGGAAATGGAAATCAAAACAAGAACAGACTTGAGAGAAATATGTTTAACTGATTTAAAGTCATCAGGAAAAGTTATTGCTGAAACTGTACTGTTGGACTACAGCAAAAAAGTTGAACAACTTCCTAAACTGGAAAATTTACAGTGCCTAGCTAATTTGACAAGACAAAAGATTTGCCCAATTGAACCACAAACATTAAATTTTGATCTAAATATGGCATTTATACCAGATGGTTTCCTTCAACGAGATTTCTATAATGAAAAGGAAAGAATAGTAATGTTTGCATCAATGAAGCAATTGGAATTGCTAGCAAAGAGCAAGGTATGGTATATGGATGGAACTTTGAAAGTGGCAAAACAACCTTTTTACCAACTATTTTCAATACATTCATTCATTAAAAAACATGGTGAAGTGAAACAAGTACCACTTATGTTTGTGTTTATATCATCAGCAAAGTCAAGAGCTTACAAATATGTATTAAAGGTATAAAATGACTGATGATTCAATGCCAGAGGAGGTAGTTGTTGATTTTGAAAAAGGACTCTGGAAAGCTCTGAAATCTATTTATCCAGCAGTATCCATAAGAGGGTGTGCATTTCATTGGAGCCAAGCTGTGTATAGAAAGATTCAGGTAAGATGAATATGTTAATTTTGCTACAGTTTAGCTTTTATTATCTATATTTTTAGAATTTGGGATACAGTATAGATTATCAATCAAACATGAATAATGGAAGGTCAACATTAAAAAAGATATTAGCATTGCCATTTCTTCCTTCTACTACAACACCAACAGTCTTCAATTTAATTGCAAATGGTATGGGAGCAAGAAACAAATATGCTGATTTGTTACATTATGTTCAATCTCAATGGATTGAAAATTCAATTTGGCAACCTCAATAATGGTCTGTGTTTGGTTATAGTGTCAGAACAAATAATGAAGTTGAAGCTTGGTACAGAAGATTGAACAGTAAAGTCTTGGCCAAAGGCTCTTTTTACCAATTGGTAGATGAACTAAATAAGGAAGCTTCTCTTATTGATGTTTATAAAAACTTTTATCTGAGAGAAAGTTGAAGAAACACCAAAAGAAAGAATATATGAAATTACAGGTTGAAATATTCAAATTATGGGATAATTATGATTTAGGATTAATAACAGCAATATATCTATTGGAAAAAGTATCAAATATATATGTATCATAACTTGCATATTAACCTCTCTTGTCTAGCCCTGTAGTTTAATTCTTGATATTTTTGGTGTAACTAATGTTGTTCATAAATCTTTAACTAAAGATTCAGTGGTTTCTTACTTAAATACATTTTATATTGTAAAACTTTTTCTCTGCTAAATTCTTTTCATAGAATAGTATTTTCACATTGTCTTGTGTCATTCTATAGAACTACTTCCTTTTTAATATGGGACATTCTTTCCAGCTCCCGCTAGCAACTGTTAAATTCGTAGGGTTTATATACTTTCCTAAGAGTTTAACAGTTCACAATTTCAAAGTTTGAACAATGCAAAGTAGTATTGAAACTGATTCTACACTTAAACCAAAGTATGAAATCTCTCAATTAAGAATGGTTTTCAGACAGTTTTATGGTCCGAATCATCCAGTTAATGGTGGTTATTTTTCTGGAGATAATTGTCAATCATATCTAAAGTTCAACTTTGGTAGGATAGTCAAAATGAAAAGAATAAAGATAGAAGGTGCTGGAAGATCAGGAGATTCATGGATAAAATACTTTTATATATATATGAGCAACAATTCAGATTCACTGGACACTGTACGAACAATGGATGGAAGTCGTCATGTAATGTCTTTTGAATTTCAAAAAAAAAAGAAAAATAATAATTTATTTAATACTTTTCTGTTTTGTTTCTTTTTAGAAATTTCGTGGAAATTTCAACAAAATAACAGTTACTCAAAATTCATTTAATCCTCCAATAATAGCTCAATACTTGAAATTTTTGTCAGAATCTTGCGAAAAAGCATTCTCTGTTCGATTGGAAATTTATGGTTGTAATATAACTAAAACATACATTGATCGTACAAAACCTCTTGGTTTAACAAATTTTTATATATTACATTCTCAAATGATAAATAGAGAATTGGACAATTTGGAATATGGAATACATGAGATTAGGCTTAGTTGTGAATCAGATTTTCAAAATAGAGGCTATTACTTTGCCAAATCAATGTGGCAGTTTGATCTTGGAATAAAGCATAATATAGTGAAAATTTTTTTGCGAGGTTCCTGCGTATCTGAGAATCACATGAAGAGTTTTCAGGTAAAATATACTGATGATCCTTTGAAATGGTTTGATGATAAGGCAGCAAATGGACAAATTAGAAAGTATTTTGCTCAAGATAAAAATATCCTCTCAGAAGTACAATTTTATGAGACAATTACTGCTCGTTACATAAGATTTACACCATTTAGTGCTGCTGCAGATATTAGAATGGAATTGTATGGCTATCCCTGGGAACATCCGAAATTGATGAAAACCAAAAAATTCCCTAAAACAACTACTGCATCATCAGAGAAAAGTTCAATTAATTCTCCTGAAATGGCATTAAATACAAAACAAACATTTTGGTGTAAAGAAGACAATGATTTAAATGGTTGGTGGTCAGCTGATCTAGGCTTAATATACTACATAGAGAGGATTATCATTTTCTATAGAGAAAACCTGTCGAGAGATGTTTGTAGTGATATTTCAGTGTTTGGATCTCAGAATAATGGAACAAATTTAATAAAAGTAGATCAGGTAAGAATTTTTGACAAATTTTAGATTGATTTCTTACTAGAAACAATAATTTTGCTACTGTTGAACAAAAGGAAATAGCATGTTCATTTGAAGATAATCAGACAGCAATCTATTCATCACCAGCCTTACGGTTTAGATATATTCGTCTAGACTTTAAAAATGGACCAAAAGAATGCATTAGATTTGAATTATATGGTAAAAAAGCACCAATATGTCCTCCAGGCTCTCTAAGACATTTAGACAAGTGTTACATGATTTCTGAAATGGTAACATCATTTGAGAAGGCCTTAAAATTCTGTCAATCAGGATTTTATTGGAAAAGTGAAGGTTTTCTTGTAATGCCAAAGAATACATTTGAAACAGATTTTGTTAAAAGACATTATAAATTACAGTAAATATACTTTTTTTATATAAATTTTTCATTTTAAAATTTATTAAACTAATAATTGAAAACCTTAATAGAAAGCTAAATCATGGAATTTACATTGGTGTTAAGCAAATTTCATTAAATAACTTTGTCTGGCTGGATGGAACACCTGTAACAAACTATTTACTTTTTGAAAGCAACTTCTCTCCACATATTTCCTATCCTTGCTTAATAAGGAGAGATTTCTTTAAGAAGAGTAAATGTCAGGAAAATGGTTACGCAATGTGTGAAACAAAAGCAAACTGTTAGATTCTTTTTCCCTTCTTATATTTATTTTTTTCAATATTATCTATATTCATTAAACAGTACCAGATAATTTGGATGATTTTAATGATGAAGAGAAATGTCAGCCTACATGGTTTCTAATGCCACATCATAGGTTGGACATTCAACTTTCCATTGGTGTTCTCGATGTAACAAGTATGGGAAATTGTTTAGCCTATTGTCTGTCTCACAAGACTTGTAAGTCAGTCAGTTGGAGATATAGGTAAATAAAAATTGACACAAAGTAGGCTTAATTTTACAAATGATGAGAGATAATTGTTCATAGGTATAGAATTCTATCAGAGTGTTATATTTACAATATTACAAGATCAGCACTGAAATATGATAATACAAAATTTACTAAAATATCCAATGAGTTCCATTATTTCGAGCATTTCTGTTTAGATAGAAAAATTTCAAAACTTTTACCAGAAGGAAATTTTGAACAAGATGAAAATTTCAATGTAACTGTAACATCCTACAAAACTTATAATAACAATTATCGTGATTATCGTCTGGGTTTGTCTATAACTCATTATTACTGTGCACTTTGCAAGCAAACTATACAGTGCTATCTGGAAGTGAATTTTGAAAGATTAGTTCAATTGGTAGTATTTACAACATCTGCAAGATACGGAAGCTATACCGAGTATACAAAGACAGCACATTTCTTTTATAAAAGAACTTCATATGACCAATGGTTAATTGTTCGAGATGGAGATGGAGATGTTATTGTAAATATAATAAAATAATACATTTTCAAACAATTTATTCTCATTTTATATTCTCTTAACAGAATTATTCTCTACAAGAAGATAAACACTATTATAATCATAATGAATTTCCTCCTAATCTCTTTTGTAGAGGTGTTAGATTCAATCCAACAACTTATCATTCTTATGCCTCACTAATCCTTCAATTATATGGAAGATATATTGAGGAATATGAACATTCACTTTATACTCCAAAATGCAATCATCCACTGGGACTGGAGAATATGAATCGAATACATAGTTCTCAAATAACTTCTCCATCCTTTCTTAATTCTTACCATCCATATAATGTAAGATTAGATTGCCCAAGCTGTTGGATCACTAATTCTCCAGAACCAAATGATTACATAGAGATAGATTTAGGTTATATCTATCACATTACAGGTTTTGTTTCTCAAACCTGTAAAAATCAGGAAATTTATATCCTTGAATTTGCTGTTGAATATTCATTATATAGAATTCATGGTTGGCAATTTTACAAAAATGTAAAAAAAAAAATTTTTTTTTATTCGAAAGAAATTTTTATTTTTTCTTTTTTATTTGTTTTTTCTTTTAATAGAAACTGCTTGTTCGAAATGATTTCAAATTGATAACAAACACGAAAAATCTATTGCTTTTTAATGAAACTCTAGAAATGAGATTTATTAGAATTTCAGGGAAAACTTGGGAAGATAAGAGAGGATTACGCTTGGAACTTATTGGATGCATAAAACGTAAAACTTTATTACTTATTTTTTTTACAAAATTTCTTGTTGTAAAATAATAAACTTTTTTTCTCATTAAGAGCATGACACAATAACCCAAAGTTCCAATGATTACCTGGAACAAATTATTATTGAAGAAACCACTCTTGGCAATGTTTTATCATTGGACAAGGTCAATGAAACTTCTACTTTATCTTGCCTGGACAATTGGCTATTGCAACCAAATAAAATAACTATAAACTTTCAAAGAGTTTACAGTATTACAGGATTTGTCATTCTTTCAAATGTAACAAACAATTTGAACTTTACAATAGAATATTCATTTGATCTGGTAAACTGGTATACTTATACTTATGGATTCGATTACAAACAATTAAATGTATAATAAGAAATTTTTCTAATATTTTCTTTTTACCTATAACTTTGCATTTGTCTTCCATTTTTAGTCAACTCATCATATTCTCTTATCTAATCCAATTTTGACTGTTTATTTATCATTGACTATTCAAAGCACAAATCAATATACTTGCTTAAAAATTCATATTAATGGTAAAAAACATTCAGGTATGATTATGAAGGTTTTGAATTTGATACAAAATATTTTATTTAAAAATATCTACTTCTTCACAATGTCCTCCAGGATACTTCCTCTTCAACACAAAATGTATTTCCTATCCTTATTCTGTACCCTTCTCATACGATGAAGCTGTTGAACAATGCCAAGGTATACCATGGAGAGGTCAAGGACGAATAATTTCACCAAAAAATGATGAAGTTCTAAATGTATTTCTACAAGGATTTTTCAAAAAGTAATTCAATCACCTAGGTTGAATTTTTTTAAAATGAAATATTTATAAATAGAAATACACTAAAGACACGTTTAGGATTGAGGAAAATTAGTGGTAAATTCACTTGGCAAGATGGTAGTCTTCTACCTACAGATGAGGTGACAAAGTGGGATGATTCAAGCACATCTGGCTACTGTGTTGGTTTTAAACCAACTAATGGATTTTGGATAAAACTATCTTGTAGTAGTGATTTTCTCTTTTCATGTGAAAAGAATGCTGGTATATAAGAAATTTTGTTTTGCTTTTAAAAGAATCTAACCGAATTTTTTATAGTTCTATCACCTGAACAAAGAGTTGGTAAATTATGGGAAGTAATTGAATCAGCTATATTAATAACAGCCAGTAGTAATAGTATTATTTACAAAAATGACTACAATACAAGATTTGATTGTTTGATGGCTTGTAATGAAGAAATAAGATTAACCTGCATTTCCTTTACCTTTGATACAGCTAGCAAAGACTGTATTCTCTATTCTGCAAACACTTATACTAAAAATTCTTACCTGAGAATGAATGTCACTGATGTTGATAAGATATATTTTCAAGCTTTCAATCCTGGTAGAATATAAGATTAAGAAAGTCTCTAACATTACTTGTTTTGTTTTTTCCTCAGGTAAATGTTCAGCTAGTCTTGTTGAACAGAAATCTTTAGGAATAAACTGGAATGTTTCTTCCAATTATGATTTATCAAGGGATGCAAGTAAATTACCTCTATATATAAGAGAGGGTTCTTTTGGTTACTGGAGACCTGATGATGCTGATTTAAAACCATGGATTCATTTCAATTTTGATGCTGCTGTAACAATATCATATTTCATTTTGCAAGGAACAGGAAAGTTGAGTGACGAAGGATACATAAAATCCTTTTTCATAGAATCTGCTTTAGATGGTATCAAATATGAAAATGTCTCATGGGACTACAATGGTGAGAATGTTTTTGATGGACCATTAGATCATATCAGTACAAGATTTTATAGATTTCAATCTTCATTCAAGACAAAATCTATCAAATTTAACCTTTTGGAGAAGAGTTTATATTTTGCTATGAATATTGAATTGTATGGTTGCACTGACTATATTCCAGACTGTTTTTCCCTAACATCTTCAGATTTTGAAGTTAGAGGAGCTGATAAAATGGCAAAATTAAAATGTTTTGAAGATTGGACTGTCCTTGGTCAAAAGTTAATGTCAAATGATTCTTGGGAAAAAAGTTGGTTTGATTACAAAAATGGATTCGAAAGTAGTAACCAATTCTGGGCTGGTAATCAACTAGCAACCTACTTGACAACTTTCAGAGAGTACAACTGTAGAATTGACCTTTGGACAAAAGATGGAAAACACAGACACAGCGAATTTAAAACAATTCTTTTTCAATCAGAAATCGAATTCTATACTAGAAGTGTATTGAAATTTTTGAGTGGTAGCTCACCATCCAGTAAATTTTTAGAACCTGCAAAATTTTTTGCAATTGATAGTGATAATGAAAGATCTTGTGCACAAAATACCCAAACTGGTTGGTGGTTTTTAAATGACAGTTGTTTATCAACAAATTTATTAGCTTCCAATTCAATTTGGCCAATTGATCAAACGGATTTGTTCAATGCTTACAATTTTAAAGTGGAAAAATTTCTTTTTAAAATAAAATCAAATAATTCTTGTAAGATAGTCAAATTTTTCATTTAAAAAAAAATCTATTCTCTTTTTTATTATCTATTAATTTATCTAGATAATATTGCTATTGGCAAACATGCTTTTCAAAAGAAAACTGAGGGCGAAAATGTAGCTAATTTGGCAATTGATGGCATCATTTTATCTGATGCTACTCAAGGATATTGTGCAGTTGGAGAACATACAACTGATCCTTGGTGGGTAGTCAATTTATTCAAATCTTTCAGAGTATTGGGAATAGCAGTAACAAACAGGAAAGATTGCTGTTGTAAGTTTAAACCGAAAAACAATCTATGAACAAACATTTTTCTATCCCAACTGTCCATTCAGCTTCAGAACTCTCAAACTTTAGAATTGGATTGGCAAACAGTTTTTCTGTTACAAACTTTGATTCTTCCTTATTTCAACTATGTAAACATTACACTGGAACAATTGGATCTGGCATTACAGAAGAGATAGTATGTGATAATGGGCCAATCATAGGATCTTACCTTGGCATTTGGATGATTGGAGCAAATCTTAGATTAAGCTTATGTGAAGTTGAAATTAATAGTGAATTAAAATATGGTGAGTATAATTTTTCCCACCATAATAGGGTCACATTGAAAGCTGCAGGAGTTGAGAGGTGAATACTCTCTAACTGGCTGGGGTTGATACTTTTATTCTATTTTACTCTGTTAAGAAGAAGTATAGCTAGTATAAAACTTTTCACAGTGGCCTTTGAAGAAACTGTATACATATATATATTATGAGATAATGTTTATATTAACCAGGTTCAAATAGGATTTATGGAGAATCTTGTGAATCAGATTCAAATTGTGTTGAACCCTATACATCTTGCCTTCCACAGAATGAACCACAGAATCTCAATGTCTTATTATATTCTTGTCAGTGTAGTGTCTACACAATTCGTAAAGACAACATATGCTATAAAGGTAAGTGAGGAATGGAATGGTGTACAATTTCAAACAGTCTAAAACAGTTTCTTATTTCAAAAAAAAAATACACAGCTACAGATATTTCATTGAAGCTGATTGATATAGATACGAAATTTATCAGAGAAGAGGAAAGCAATATTCCATTAAGAATTACATTGCAGAATTTAGCTGGATGGCCAATTGCTGAAACTACTTTACCAAATACAAACTTTGACTTTACAGCATCACTTTCGGATTCAGATAGCATTGCCAGTGCAAAATTTATAAAAAATATATCCTTAGCTTCAAAATCAGGCCTTGAAAAGCAACTACTCAGTAGAGATATAACAAATTCTTCTAAACGGGGTGAAACAGTTTTGAGTCTGACAGTTACAATGAAATTCCCAATTCATCAATGTTTTAATGAGAGTTTTTTCTGTGGAAATATTTTACAATCTTCAACTAGTGATTATTTAGAATATGACAAATCAAATAATGAAAAATGTGTATCAATGTCATCGCTAGTAAATTGTCAACCTGATATAGATTTATCAATATCCAAGATAACACTTAGTTCCGAAGAATTTATCTATAGAAGTATCAGTCAAAATCATACTTTTATTATTACTATACTAAACAAACATTCCAATTCTCATGATGTTATACAATTATTTGATACTTTCTATAATTATGACATTGAAAGTCTGATTTCAAACAAAACTCATCAAATCAACAGTAAAAATCAAAATTGGCAAAAGTCTAAATTGGATTTAAAAGAAAAGCAGAAAGGGATTAAAGTTGGTAATACTTTGGATTTGTCAATGAAAATTTTAACACATCTTTCAAGATTTGAATGTGAAGATGATTTATTTGTTTGTTTTCGAATTGTTCCATCAAATTTTTCATCATTTAAAGAGATTAATAGAACAGATGATATTTTATGTTTAGATATGGATAAATACAAGAATTGTACACCAGGTAAATAATTTCACTTCAAAATAGTTTACTGACTATACTATTTTATCTTTATCTATTCAAATTAGCTATCAGAATCAAGGCAAACATTACTATTCCAAGACAAACTGTAATAAGAGGTTATAATCAGTATTTACAAACATTTTTGCAATGGACAAACATTGATGAGAAGTTCAGCATTGATTCAGTTCCAATGAACAGATACAACTTTAATTTCACTGTATTTTTCACCAATGTCAATTTGCAAAGTAATCATTCAAAACCACACTTCTATAGATTTTTGAATTCATCTAGTATTCAGTCAAATCTATCTATAAATCAGGAGTTGATGTGGAAATTTATGCATAGGATATATATTCCAAGAACTCAATGCTCAGAGTATAAATTTCTCTGTTTCAAGGTCAGTCCTGGTGAGGGATCATCATATTCTCTATTTCCTGATGGAAATAGCACATCTTGTACAGATATGGAAACTGTTATAAACTGCATTGGTCTGAAAATAAATGGTCTTCACTTTGAAATTTCAAACAACAATCTGACTGAAGGCAGTTCCAGTCAATTTTCAGTAGTATGGAGTCAGGGAACAGATGTAAATTATAGAATAAACTTTACTGAAATGAATTCAGTATCATGGAATTGGCTTAATGCCAGTCATACAGAATCATTTGGACCAATTAGTAAACATTACTTGGACTTTTTGTACAATAGCTATGGCACATACAATGTTACTTTAACAGCATGGAATGAGGTGGCAAGTCAAATACTTTGGCTAGTTAAAGTTGTTGAACCAATACTTGGAAATCATGTTAGCTTTAAGAGTGACTATGTTCCAAATGAACCACCTTTGCAGGTCTTATGGAAGATTGAATATCAATATCAAACTAATGTGATGACAAAAGATATATCAATGACTTGCTTTATTGACACTGGTCACAATGAAACTTTGACCAAAACTGTCATTCTCAACTATGCAAATCTATTGGTCATTGATTATATTTATTCAAAGGATGAATTAAAAGCAGAAGCAACAATTACTTGTAATAATTCTATATCAAATGTTAAAAGTAATCAAGTATTTTTACTTCAGCAAAATGTAACAGATTTAAAAGTGAAATTCAATCATATTCATTGGCCATCATTCAAAAATTTATCACTTGAAATAACCATGAAAAATGGAAGTGATGTTGAATATGAAATTTTGTTTGGTGATGATTCAAAAGAGATTTTCAAGAATCCTGAACTTTTTGCAAATGGAAAAGCATTTTATGCAATTCATTCCTATTCTCTTCCAGGTGAATATCAAGCATTTGTTAGAGCAAGAAATGAATTTTTCAATGACATGGCCTTGACACTTCAACCTATCATCATTCAGAATGAAGTGAAAAAAATTAATTTAACAATTTCCTATGAAAAACCTAGAAAAGTGAACTTAACTATTAAAGAGATAGACAATGAATTGAATCCAACAAATGTATCATGTTTATTTCAACCTGATGATAATCAACACATAATATTTCATAATGTTGATATCAGAAATGGTACAACTCTTATTCATGAATATTCAGAAGTGTTCAATGAAAGGGAGAAGAGAAATTTAACAGTAAAAGCCTTCTGCTTTAATCAAGTTTCCAATGCATCATTTACCCAAAATTTCATTTTGGAAGAACTAATTTCACAATTGAATGTTTCAATCAATAATTTGTTTTTATCTACTTTTGAACTGTTCACAATAAACATCACAACTCTTACTGGCACAAATATGAACTTGACATTTGATTTAGGAGAAAATGAAATTTACAATTTCCAAGTAAAAGGTCCTGGTATGAATTCAATTCCATTCAATTTCACCTACAAGAATCCAGGAGTATTTTGGTTAAAGATAAAGGTGCTTAATTCTGTCAATACCCTTACTAGTCAACACCTATTAACAGTTCAAAATAGAATTGTTAATGCAACTTTCTTCTTAATTTATATAGAACCCAGAACAATACTGACTAGTGTCAGGCAATATTTTCCATTAATTCTACCTACAAATGTTACCTGTTCAATTGATATTAGCTGGAAAGCTACAATTGTTCATGAACATCAGAATTTATTATTAGGAAGTTTGGGAAATTTTTTACTGGATGAGATTTATAACCAAAGAAAATTCAAACATTTCAATTTTACTACAAAGTGTTTTAATTTAATTTCGAGTGTTGATTTTTTTCAAAATGTTACATTTAGAGAAAAAATCACTGATTTGAACTTTTATATTGATAAAGCTGTTGTAAAAGTTAATGAAACTGTTAATTTTACAATTACAACTGCAACTGGTGACAATATTACGCTGGAACTGGACTATGGAGATGGAAATTCTTTTAGTAGATGGATGACACCGGATCGTATAATAAAAAGCTTAACATATGAATATAAAATAGCTGGAAATTATAGTGCAAATGCTATTATGAAGAACAGTGTCAATCAGTTATCTTTCACCATAACTCCAAAGATAATTGTTCAAGTACCAATCTTTGAATATACAATTAAGGCACAGTACATTGGAAGTTTAGATGAACAGCCACTAAACTTTTCAATTAGTGTTAACAAAGATTTACTTGCTCCTACAGATGTTTTCTGTTTCTTTCAACCAAAGTTGAATGAAGTGAATAGTAAATTTTTCTATCAACCAGAATTGACAAGTTTAAAATCATTGACTTTTAGTCATTATTATTTAAAAGATGATATTGGAAGAAATATTTCAGTAAATATAACATGTAAAAATCTTGTTAGTGAATTTGAAAAAATTTTTAATGTAACAATTTTTGAGAAAATAAGAATTTTACAGTTGAAACTTAACAAATTGGCTTATATGAGAATGGAAAGTGTACCTTTAGAGATAACAGTTCGAAATGGTTCGTCTGTTATCTATACAATCTATCAACAGACATTGTCTATTATAAGGGAGAGACACCCAAATTTATTTGCTACTGATCAATCATTAATCAGTTCTTTGGAATTTTCAAATATTGGAAATTATTCTGTAACAGTTGTTGCAGAAAATGAAGTAAGCAAAGAAAATGAAACAATTACAGTGATCATTCAGAACAAGATTGAAAATATTTCTCTTGAAGCAAACAAATCAATATTATGGACACCAGGAGTTATTTCATATAGGCTTTATTCTGAATCTACTCAAGACATTCTTAAAGATGTTCACTGCTCTTTTAATTTTGGTAATGGTATGTCTTCAGAGAAATTTATACCAGTTTGGCTACCATTTACATCATTTGCATATGATTTTTACTTTCCAAGAACTGCTATTGGCAATTTAACAACCAATCTGGTTTGTAGCAATTTACTATCAAACAAACAGCTGAATACAACAACAGAAATTATTTTGGATGCTGTAATACTAGAAGATATAAGGGATAATGGAACTGTCCTATTGACTAATCAAACAACTATTATAACTGAAATTAAAAGAATGGGTACAAATTCCTGTTTTATCTTTGATCTTGGTGATAAAAATTCAACAAAATTAGCATTTGGAGTTAATGATATTTGCAGAGATTATGCATCTGATAGACTGATAACTTTTACCAAAATTCCATATCAACAAAATATCATAATTTTCAATCATATTTATGAAGAGATAGCTTACTACAATGTCAAAGTTCATGCTTTCAATCATATTACAAATGATGAGAAGACTGTTAGAACACGTGTTCTTGATTGGTATTGCTATAGTCCAAATGCATCTGTACCAACTGAATACACTTTTCCAGATAAACCACAAAGGTTGATGAAAAGTATACAATTTGAAATACCAGTAAACATCAGTTGGGATTGCATGAAAACTGATAAAGTAATATACCAATGGAAAGTCTTTCAGTTACCAACAAATTCTCTGACATTTCAATCAACTAATAAAACTTTGCAAATAAAAGAAAGACAACTTGAATATGGCAGTTATAGAGTGGAATTTTTCATATATATGCTCAACAATCTGGATGCAAATAATGCATATGAATACTTTTTTGAAATTATACCAACTCCACTACATGCAGAAATTCTAAATGGAAATTGGACTAATGTCGAATATGATATCAACCACACTGTCAATGCCCAAATACTCAGCTATGATCCTGATAATGATATTGATGATAAATTGAAAGGTATTACTTTTCAATGGCATTGTAGAAGAGAAGATGAACAATTATCTTCATCCTCAAACATTGTGAAGAAAGGAACAAATTTACAAGATGTTCCACCAACTCTAAAAGAATTCAAAGACAATGGTGGATGTTTTGGAAATGGTCCAGGTTATATTGATAATGAATCTAAAGGCATATTAACTGTCAATACTTATTACATGATACCAAATACAACATATGTTTTAACTGTAAAAGTTCTATCAGACATTGGAAATAGAGAATCAACTTTTGAGCAGGTTCTTTATTTGAAATTGACCTCCAAACCACTACTAAAATTAAAGTAAATTCTTTTCTGTATAATGTTTCATTTTAACTTTTTTTTACCAATTTTTTTAGATGTGAAAAGAATTGTTTAGACAAAGCTGGACTTTCATCATCAACAATTTATCAAGTGGTATGTTTGTCAAAGTGTTCTAGTTTGTACTGGAAAATTGTCTATAATTGGAAAGTGTTTGTCAATTTGAACGAAACATGGACTATTGTTAATGATTTACATGATAGAGTTATTGGAAATTTATCCTGGAGTATGATTGAAATCAAGGAACAATCACTTATTCCTGGAACTTATCATAATTTAGTTGCTGAGGGTAGAATGGAAGAAATTGGTGGTGAAACAGGCTTTTCAAATATGACTTTCCTTGTAAATAAACTACCATCAGGTGGAAAGTGTTATTGTAAACCTAATGCTGGTTTTGCATCAATTACCAATTTTGAGATAAATTGTCCAGGTTGGAAAGAATTTGAAAAGGCTATTGATTCACCAGGTTTAAATTATCGATATAGAGCTAGGCCTAAAGGAGCAAAGACAAGTCTTCTTTTGTATTTTTCATTCCAGGAAGAGCCTGTCTATGTTATGTTACCTGTTGGCGATCCAAGAAACCAGATAACTGAAGCACTAGTCACTATAATTGATTCTGTTGGTGATTCTTTTGATTTTATGTTTGAAGTTCAGGTTCAACCACCCCCAGAACCTGAGGAAAAGTTGCTAGATCTGGTTATAGATGTTGTTTCGGGTGGGCTTTTAAATCAACAATTAAAGAATGGTAACTACACTCAAGTGTCATCTACTATTTATTCAGTTGCATCAATACTCAATGCAAATCTTAATAAATCATTAGAGAAGACAAATAATGAAACAGAAAATGAAATAGCTCAAAATGCATGTGAAAAGAGAATAAAGAGAATAAAGGCAAGAAAACAAATGATTGATTATTCTGTAAATGTTCCTTTTAAATCAGTTGATGAAATGGAACAAAATAATGAATTGATTAATTCTCTAGTATACAAACCAAAAGAAGTAGACATTGGATCACAGGTATTAAAACTCATTAAAAAGTAAAAATTCCAATCACATTCTCTTCCTTTCCAGATGATTGTCACTGATCAAATAGGCAAGCTAAACAATGTCTTAAATACAGAACAAGTCCCACCAAAACTGAAGAAACAAATATCAATAAGTATGAGAATTGATAGAGTAAATGATGAAACAAATAAACATTTCTTTTACAAAACTAGGCCTTCTAGAAACCTGTATACTTACAACTACAGCTGCTGACGCCTATAAAGAAGATGCAGAAAAAGAGGAACAATACAAACTTGAAAAAAATAATACAAAGTTTTTTTGTGACATCATTTCCAAAACTAGAAATCTAACAACAATACTCAATACCACAAATAATAGCAGGCAATCTTTGAATACAACTAGTGGAAAATTGGAAAATGTTATGACAAAAGTTATTGGAGTTATCAACAATGTTACTGATGAATTGCTATTTGAACAAAAAGAGGATGAACCAGCATTGAACATTGAATTTGAACAGATGAGTATCAATATTGAGAAAGCATCTATTAATAGAGTGAAGGAAAGCAGTTACAATTCAACTTTGGTTAGTAGAATTGAACTCTTTTGACAGTGAAAATAATTCATGTGTGACTAAAAGATTAATCATGTCCAGTATTAATCCATATATGTGGGACAAGTCAGCAAACAATGTAACATCAACAGTAACTGAATTTATTGTTCAACCTTGTAATGAATTAACAAAAACAGCCACCAGAAAGAAAAGAAGTATTCATGAACAATCTACAACCAACTTTTCCTTAACTCTGAACATGAAGAACAAGGGCCAAGATGTTCAGTATGTAAACACAACCAAAAAATCAGCCATCCACATACTTAATGCAACAAAGAATATCCTGCTACTCAGTTTTAACCTAAAACCTACAGATGTGATATCAGTTCTGATTGGTTTTGACAAGAGACCAGTTAATGATCTGAATAATGGATCTTTTATTGTTCCAAATTTAAACAAGACCTGTTCTACAAATCTTAACCAAAATGATTGTGATGAATATAAAAGAACAATTATGATTAAACCCAGTCAAAATCATAAAATCATGGTTGTTGTCTACTGTTCAAACTGTTCAGATAAACTACTCAATTATAGTTTAAAAATTGCTTACCCATCATGCAAAGTATGGAGGGATGATAGTTGGAAAGAAGATGACAATTCCTGTAAAATTGACAAACAAACAACAGTCACCAAAGCAAGATTTACAAGTAATCTATTTGGAAGTTTAGGAGCTGGACTAGATCTTGCACCAAATCTTATAGATTTTGATACAGTATTTGATGACTTTGCTAGTAAACTGGCTGATAATGCAGCAGTATTTGGAACAGTTTGTTCACTATTTGCCCTCTTTATTCCTTTGGCAATATTGGTACGAAAATTAGACAAAAAGGATCAATTTCTGTGGACACCAATGCCATTGTTGGACAATTATGAAGAAGATAAACATGAATATGAAGTACATATCCACACTGGGAGTAAAAAGGATGCTGGCACTCAGTGTAGAGTTAATTTAACATGTTATGGGAGCCTTTGCAACACTGGTAATCGAGTTCTAGCTTCCAGCAGAGTTGTAACTTTTGATGCAGGAACAGTTAGGTCATTTCTAATGAAAACAAACTGCAATATTGGATCAATAGTTTGTATAAAAGTATCTCTTGAAAGAATGCCTTTTGCACTGGAAGAGTATGATCCTTGGTATTTATCAAGAGTAGTAATTGTTGATAAAGCTGAGAATATTTGGTATAATTTTGACTGTGAAAGGTGGTTATCTCCTTTTCATGCAGATTGCGAAACTGAAAGAGTTCTTCTTGCAACTAGGCACACAAATCAACCTCATGTAGATCAATTGTTTAAAAGGAATATTAAAAGAAAGTTGACTGATGATCATTTATGGATATCAGTTGGAGCTAGGAGAACAAAATCCAAATTCACAAGACTTCAACGTTTGTCAGTTTGCTTTGTTGCTCTTTTCCTGTCTATGATTGCCAGTTGTATGTTTTATAAAAATTCTGGAGAATCTAAAGCTCAAGTTGGATTGACATTTGGTCCAGTTACATTTACTGTTTATGAATTGTATGTAGGATTTGTTAGCAGTATCATTATATTCCCTGGCTTGGTTGTAATAACTCTACTATTCAATTCTAAAAGATGGAGAAAATTTACTATTCCATTGGCATGGACAATCACTTTTCTTACAGCAGTTGCAGCTGCATTCTTCACAATATTATATTCTATCCAATGGGGTAAAGATAAATCCTTAAAGTGGTACTGTCATTCTTCCTATCTTTTATACAAAGTGTCATTCTTGTTCAGCCTGTAAAAGTCATTCTTGTTGCAGTTTTACTAACATTTTTGTTCAAAAAAGATTCAGATCTTAGTGAATATGAAGAAGAAATTGGAGATATGAAGAAGTTGGAAACAGAAGATTTATCTCACATTCCTAAAGGTAAGTGAAAAAAAGCTATTTTTTTTGTTTTTGTATTCAGATTTATAATTTTTTTTTTAATAAACAAAAAAAACAGAATTAAATATTCATCAAAGACTAAAAACAGCATCAGAAGAATGCCATGCCTCAAAAACTGACAAACATCTTGAGAATAAAATGCATAATATGCTTAAGAATATTACTCTTCATGCAATCTATCTAATCTTTATCATCTTTATATGCTATAGCAATCAAAATCCAATAACTTATTATCAGAATAGGTCAATTTACAAATTGATACCAAATCTTCAAAAAGTAAAAGACTATGACAATTTCTGGAAATGGCTAAAAACTGATGCTCTACCACAACTTTATCCAAAGACATATTATAATAAAATGAATCTTTCTATTTATGATCAAAAACATACAAGTGAATTGAATCATATGAGATTCTCACCTGTCAGACTCTTTCAAACCAGAGTAAAAGAACAAAAATGCAAAACTATTACAAATTTTCAAAAATTGTTTTCTAATCATAGCTGTTTTGGATTTTATTCAGCAACTAATCGACTTGAAAAGAATTTCTCTACTCATTGGGCTGACTTTAATGTCAATGATACACACAATGCATTTATATATTCAGTTAAAGACCAAGGCTATTCAATTTCATTGGGTCAGAAGGCCGATAATGCCCATGAAATTCTAGATGAATTGAAAAAATATGGTTGGCTGGACCGTCAAACCCATCTGATCAAATTGGAGTTCACAATTCTAAATCAGGAGACAGTTTGCCAGGCATCTTGGAAATTTGAATTTAAAATAATAGGAGGAATAATAATAAAGGTTCGAAGTGACTCCTTACAACTTTATAGATACACAGGAGTGGGTGGTTTAGTTTCCCTTATCTTTGAAATATGTTCTCTGTTAATATGGATTTTCTTGGTTATTCGATGTCTGTACAACTTTATCAAGCATTCAGAAATTCCTGGTTTACTCTCACTGCTCTCCTATATATGTTTCATATGGTCCATTGGTCTTTATATCTGGAGAACAATTATTGGACTAAAAGCAGTAGAGAATGTAATGAATTCCAAATATGAATATGTAGATATGTCATTATTTTTTAATGCTCATGAATACTTTATGATATGCATTGGATTTTGTGGTTTTTTCGGTATGATTCATATATTGACCATGCTGAAAATCTCCAGAACAATTTCAGTTCTTGTAAGTACCTTATTAAAATCCAGGAAAGAATTAATGGCAATAGGAGTTTGCTGTTGTATTGTTTTTATTGGCTATGCCAGTTGCGGTTACATTATTCTTGGCACAAATACAGAAAATTATAAAAGTTTCAAACACACATGCTTTGCATTAATTGTCACCATTTTTGGACATTTGGACTTTGAAGTATTATCTGCTACAGCAGGCTCTCTGGGTAAAGTTTATATTACATCCTATGCATCTATAATGACATATCTCATCTTGAATATTTTTATAACAACTTTAAATGAATTTTTGACTGCTGTTAAACTTGATCCAACTGTACTACCTGAAGATCATAAAGTATTCAAATATATTATCAACCAATTTAAGAAAGTCTTTTCCAAAGATGATCAATCAGAGAAAAGGCTTAAAGAATTTGATAACACAAAATTTAAAGGTTTGTCCTTATTCTATTTTTTAAAAAATTCTTTAAATTCTGAAAATTTTTGTAGCACTACACAAAAAAATAAATGATTTGGATCAGATTACCTCTATGTTAGAATCCTCCATAGATTTTGAATTGTTTGATATGGTAATGACTAGCTATGTTTGGCAGTCGGTAAAGCAATCTGATAAAAAAGTGGCCAGTGATCACATTGGTCAAGATAGTGAGCAGCTAGAAAACGAATTGATCAATATTTTTGCAAATGTAAGAAACAAATAAATATACAATATACAATTTGAAAACTTCACTTGACACTTTGAATATAAATTTCACTGGCTTTGTAGCAAAACTGCAATAGCAGTTGTTATATCTGGCATAGATTGTATCAAATTACAAATAATAATTACAATATAATTTTAATAGTCTTTATATGAAATTTTGTGATTGTACAAACAACTTATTAGTTAGGCATGTAACATGTCTAACTTGATGTGCTCAGCGAAAAGATCTCCCCTTCTAATAAATCTTTTTAAAGTAAATTATTTTGATAGAAAATTTGTAGATTTTTTGATTAAATAGGTTTGTTTAGTGAATTTTTTCTCCTGTTTTCATTTTCATTGATATTTGAATTGATAAAAAGTTTATCTGTTATGTTATTTCTATAATTGAATATGGAGATGAGACTTTAATACTGTACAACTTTGGTTATATTTTACATGCTTGAACTCTATTATTTTATGCAACATATACATGTCCATCTTAAAACCTACGCAAGAAAATGCTATAACATTGGCCAAACATAAGTCTGATTAGTCAGCTTCAAGGCTCATCTTTAATTACCAATAAAGGTTTGGCCAAGTTATAATTTAATTAACTTGCCTAGGGTGTGGCCAAGTTATAATTCAATTAACCTTCCTAAATGTTCAACCTTGTAACATCCTGTTACTAAAGATAAATATGAACTACACATTTTGGCAACTGTAAAGTGATGATTGGATGTCAGAGACAAACCTCAAAGTATATAAATCCTCATTATTCTCATTTGGCATGCAGCTTCCATCTGGACCCAAGGACCTGGGAAAATCATCTGGAAACAACCTCCACTGGAACCATCCATCTACTCCTCAACATTGGAAGACAGTTTGGTAATTTGGCAACCTGCTTTTACAAACTATCTACTCTGCTATCGAACTCTCATATTGTTACTTGCTTAAGTATTATTATTGCGAATAAACTGTTTTAATTTAAACATTTGTTTAAAGGTTCGAGTAGAACCAGTATTGTTATAACTTGCAAACGCATAGATTTTGCCAGCAAGAGCAGTACAATACCATCAGAATTCCAATCCAGATTTTTCTTATCTTCAAAATAGACGGTATGATTAGCAACTTTTATGATGTGATTATTTGTATATAAAAGAATCTGATGAATGTATTAATCATCTTTCACAATTCCATAAACAGTGATATTTTGTTAAGTTTC